TGGCCGGAGGAAGCCCGACGGTCTGACAGGACACCCCAAAACATTTTTGTGAAAAAGCATTGGGTTTTTGATGTTTTTATGTTGAAATGCTTGCAAACACACGGTATTCGGTAGGATTCTGACATGAACGCGCGAGTGTGCTCTTTGTGGTATTTTTTGCACAGGATTCGCGGCCTGGGTGCATGACAGAGCATCGCGAGTGCACCGCGCGATGACGTGAAATCGCTGGATTTGACAGAATTCTTAAGATTCCTATGGTTTTCCTATGATTTCAGCAAGAGAGCCCGGGCGGGAAAATTGTACAATTTTTTGTGAAAAAGCATTGGGTTTTTGATGTTTTTATGTTGAAATGCTTGCAAACACACGGTGTTCGGTAGGATTCTGACATGAACGCGCGCGTGTGCTCTTTGTGGTATTTTTTGCAATGGATTATCGCCGTGGACGACAGGACGTCCATGTCGAGAGGAAAAAATAAGAAAAATGTTGATTTTGTATTGTTTTTTACAGGTTAGGATGGGACCACCCGGATGCGCCCGCTATCTGCCGGCCTGAGGGGGGAGTAGGAGTATATTCTAATAAGGAATAAGGATAGGAGTAGGAGTAGTAGGAGTAGAAGTAGCAATAGTAACATTAGTACTAGTGCTAGTAGGAGCACGAGCACGAGTACGAGTACGAGTGCGAGTGCGAGTACGAGTAGTAGTAGTTGTAGTAGTAGTAGCCGTAGTAGTAGTAGTAGTAGTAGTAGTAGTAGTAGTAGTAGTAGTAGTAGTAGTAGTAGTAGTAGTAGTAGTAGTAGTAGTAGTAGTAGTAGTAATCGTAGGCGTAGGCGTAGGCGTAGTCGTAGTCGTAGTCGTAGTAGTCGTAGTCGTAGTCGTAGTCGTAGTCGTAGTCGTAGTAGTAGTAGTAGTAGTAGTAGTAGTATAGTAGTAGAGTAAGTAGTAGTAGTAGTAGTAGTAGTAGTAGTAGTAGTAGGTATAGTAGTAGTAGTATTGAAGATCGTAGAGTAGTAGTCGTAGTAGTAGTTCGTCGTAGTGGTAGCAGTAGAGTAGTAGTAGTAGTCTAAAGTAGTAGTAAGTAGTAGTAGTCGTAGTAGTAGTATTAGTAGTAGTAGTAGTAGTAGTATAAAAAAGTCGTCCGTAGTCGTAGTCGTAGTCGCAGCGTTCTTCCGTTCGTCGTAGTAGTAGTCGTAGTCAGAGTCGTAGTCGTAGTCGCTAGTCGTAGTCGTAAAGTCGTTTTCGTATTCGGAGACGTAGTCGTAGTCCGTATGTCGTAGTAGTCGTATAGTCGTAAGTAGTAATAAGTATAGTAGTTAGTAGTTAAGTAAAGTAGTAGTAGTATGCAGCAGCAGTAGTAGTAGTAGAAAGTAGTAGATAAGTAGTAGCAGCAGTAGTAGTAGTAGTAGTAGTAGTAGTCGTAGTAGTAGTAGTAGTAGTAGTAGTAGTAGTAGTAGTAGTAGTAGTAGTAGTAGTAGTGGTAGTGGTAGTGGTCGTATCCGTAGTCGTAATCGTAGTAGTAGTAATAGTCGTAGTCGTAGTCGTAGTCGTTGTAGATGGAGATTGAAGCAGAAAAGAAACCATGACGAAACGCAAGAGGAATATGACACAGACAACGAATACGAGTAATAGTAATACGAACTAATATGTATAGTAAGAAGAGCAGGACAAGGAGGACGAGGAGGAGGAGCAGGAGGAGGAGGAGGGAGGAGGGAGGAGGGAGGGAGGGAGGAGGGAGGAGGTGGAGGAGGAGGAAGAGAAGGAGGAGGGAGGAGGAGGCGGGAGGAGGAGGGGGGAGGACGAGGGGGAAAGAGGAGGAACATAAAGGCAGCGGAAGCACTTGCAGGGTTGCCCTGCCGCGCGTGGCGCGGGAGGGAATGGCAGCGGTCCGGGAGACCCAGGCCCCTTGAGAAAGTTGACCCCTCAAGCGGACATGGGGGAGGCAGCTGCATACAGCTGGTCCGCGCCCCCCCCCGCGCTGCTATCCGCCCCGACTGGAGAGGGCGGGGGTCGGTGGAGGGCGGGGTGCAAAAGCAGAGAGGCGGCTCCCGCCTGCCGCAAGGGTGTGCCGCGCGTGATGCGAGAGAGGGGATCCTCGTCTGGGCTTCTCCTCGTTCCCCTGTGGTCCTTCGCGATTCCCTTTCCCTGCAGGTGGCTTCTCCCCGTCGCACCGCCAGGCGTGCTGGTCGTGCAGGCCGGGCGTTGCGCCAGACGCCTCTCCGCCAGGGCCCTGGAGTTTGCTCCTCCTCCTCCTCCTCCTCCTCCTCCTCCTCCAAGTCCTCCTCCTCCTCCTCCAAGTCCTCCTCCTCCTCCTCCTCGTCCTCCTCCTCCTCCTCCTCGTCCTCCTCCTCCTCCTCCTCCTCCTGCGAACAGTTGCAAGGGCTGGACGGGGCCAGCACGAAGATGCGCCACGGGGGAAGCGGGCCCTGAGGGAAACGGATCCTGAGGTTTTCTGCCGTTTTCGGGCTCTTGGGGCCCTCCATCGGCGTTCCGGGGCCGTCAGGAAGACAACTTCTCCTCCTCGTCCTCCTCCTCCTCCTCGTCCTCCTCCTCCTCCTCCTCCTCCTCCTCGTCCTCCTCCTCCCTCGTCCTCCTCCCTCCCCTCCTCCACCTCCTCCCCCTCCTCCTCCTCCTGCAACAAGTTTTGCAAGGGCTTGGAACGGGGCCAGCACGAAGAATGCGCCCCGGGGAAGCTGGCCCTGAGGAAGGCGGATCCTGCGGTTATCTGCCGTCCTACAGGGCTCTTGGCCCTCCATGGGCCCCGGGGCCGTCAGAAGACAACTTCTCCTCCCTCTCCTCCTCCTCCTCTCTCTCCTCCTCTCCCTCCTCCTCCTCGTCCTCCTCCTCCTCCTCCTCCTCCTCCTCGTCCTCCTCCTCCTCCTCCTCGTCCTCGTCGTCCTCCTCGTCCTCCTCCTCCTCCTCCTGCGAACAGTTGCAAGGGCTGGACGGGGCCAGCACGAAGATGCGCCACGGGGGAAGCGGGCCCTGAGGGAAACGGATCCTGAGGTTTTCTGCCGTTTTCGGGCTCTCGGGGCCCTCCATGGGCCCCGGGGCCGTCAGGAGACAACTTCTGATGAGAAAGCGGGTCCTGAGGGAAACGGATCCCGAGGTTTTCTGCCGTTTTCGGGCTCTCGGGGCCCTCCATGGGCCCCGGGGACCGTCAGGACGTCAGGGAACGACTTCTGGTGAGAAAGGGGGGCCCAGGGGGAGGGCCCCGGGGCCCAGGACCCGTGGCCCTCGGAGCCCGCTTCCCCCATGCTAAGCTAGGACGAGGACGAATCCGGTCCAGAGCGGTCCAGAATCGGCATCCCCCCAACATACTTATACTATGTGTTCGTCGCCCCCCCAGGGGCGACGCGCGCACCGAGAAATCTTGTAGTATATGCGTCGTGGCGGGCGCTTTCTGGCCACACCGCTCGAGAAACGATATACTACAAGATGGGTATACTATATGTTCGGGTCGGACGCGCGCCTCCAAGGCGGACATATAGTATTAGTATGTCTCTGTGCGTCCCACAGAATGCTCCCAGAGCGTTCCGGAACGCTCTGAGAAGGCCGCGGCGCCTGAGATTTTCTCCAGAGCTGCCGGATCGCAGAGATTCTCGATCTATCCTCACCCGATGTTATCCTCGTCCTGGCTTCGTCCTAGAAGGGCGGAGGGCATTGCCTTGTCAAAGCTGGGTTCTCGCCTTAGCGCCGCTCGCATTGCTTCTGAAAGCGTGCGACTGATGGCGGTGTAATTTCATTATGGGGCTCTCGCCTCAGCGCCGCGCACTTTTGTCTCCGACGTGCGCAGCAATTACAAGCAGGGTCATCGCCTCAGCGCCGCGCGCGCATTCGAATTGAATTTTGCGACTTTGATGGGGGACGATGCGTTTTCAAAGTGGGTTTCTCGCCTTCGCGCCACGCACCTTCGATTTCAAAACCAATAAAAGACGCTGTTTTTTCAGAAGGGCCGTCTGCTTGAAGCTGATTCAGAATTGACCAGGTACTATCTACCACGTGCAAGATCTTCACGGACGGACGGCGGTCCCTTTTTAAAATGGGGGTCTTGCATGATATGTCCGCAAGTCTAGTTACTCCAGATTTCGTAATAAAGGGAGGGGGGTCTCATTTCGGGGGGGGTCTCTTCCAGGCTATCTTGGAGGGCCTGGGGGGTCTGGGGACGATGTTTTGGAGGGTTCTCTCACGGGGGAGGTCTGAAATGGCTTGTCTTAGAGGGTCCAGACCCCCTCCCTTTTATTACGAAATCTGGAGTACCAGACATCTAGTATGGATGCATGTGTGGAGCAGTTGCACGGCTCGGGGGGCGGCTGGTTTTCAAATCTCTCGCTGGACACATCGCCGAATTCTATGATCCTGCCTTTCCTTCCTGATTCCGCGTGGACAACATGCAAATCAGGTCCTTTTCAAAACAGGGCCCTCGCCTCAACTGCAGGCCCATCGGACGGTTGCCCTTCCATCGGGCGTGTCTCATCGTGAAGGCGAAGGCTTGCAGGGACTTGCGATTCGTGAGCACGGGACGGGAGGGTGTAGTGCGGCATCGTTGATGCATCTTGGGCTTACGCTGATCGTCTCCGTCGTCCTCCTCCTCTTCTCCTCCCCTTCCTCGTTCCTCCCACTCTTCGGCAACCTATCTGTCTCTCTCTCTTTCTCCCTCCCTATCTCTCCCTCTCTCTCTCTCGCTCTCTCCCCCTCTCAGACACGCGCACTCTCTCTCTCTCTAACACTTTCCTGTGTCTCTGTCTGTCTGTCTGTCTGTCTGCCTGCCTGCCTGCCTGCCTGTCTGTCTGTCTGTCTGTCTGTCTGTCTGTCTGTCTGTCTGTCTGTCTGTCTGTCTGTCTGTCTGTCTGTCTGTCTCTCTGTCTCTCTGTCTCTCTGTCTCTCTGTCTGTCTGTCTGTCTCTCTCTCACACTTACGCGCTCACGCACACTTTCCCCGCTCCAGGCCGCCTCGGCCGGGGCTTCCCTCGCGCACGCGCCTCCGGCGGTGGCCCCCCCCCCCGAGGACCGCAAGGTCTTCCAGCAGTTTGTGGAGCTCGTCTTCCCGGCGGACTTCGGGGCGGGGAGGACGAGGAGGAGCACGTTGTTCAGGGGGGGGAAAAACACACAGACACAAGTAACCGTCGATTCCCCCGAAGATATGGGGAACTGTGGGAAGTGGGGGGGGGGGGGGGGAAGACGGAAGTCCAGAAGACGTGGGGCAGTGTGGGGAATCCTGTCACCTGTGTCTATTCATTTGCGTGTCCCAGGGCCCCTTCAGCTGTGGCGACAGGGGGACGGTATCGCACTTCGGCGGTGCCCGTTTCGTGGCGCGGCCGCTGCCGCCGCCGCGCCGCCGTTGCTCCGTTCCTACCCCTGCTCTTTCCCGCAGTTTTCTCGATGGGGCGTTGACGGTCTGCCCGAAGCCCGGGACCTTACATAGGAGGAGGAGGAGGAGGAGGAGGAGGAGGAGGAGGAGGAGGATGAGGAGGAGGAGGAGGAGGAGGAGGAGGGGGAGGAGGAGGAGCAGAAGGAGGACGAGGTTTCACCAGGTGAAGTCTGACGGTTGTCCTCCTCCTGGGGGCGTCGACGATATCCAATCCACACGCGACAAGGGACGCATACATACACGAGCAATATGGCGCGCAAGTATGCGTGCCCAGCTCGGCCTCTGGAGCAAGATCCTCCGCATCCCGCGAATGAGGGGTGGTCCATGGCGCCAGAGGGCACGCAATGCCGCGCTAACGCGGCCAGCGCGCCCTCCGGGTTCCCGCCCCCCTCGAACGCAAGGGAGGCCGAACCCAGAGAAGGCCCCAGGAAGAGCCCCCCCTCCCCAGGCCACCCCCCTCCGATCACAGGATCACAGCGCGGAGGCCTTCCAGATCAGTTTTCCGTCGAACTCAGGAAAGCAATGGAATTCTCGCAGAAGGCCCCGCCGCCATCCCAAAAGAGCAGCGCAACGCCCGTCTCGAGCTGCTGCTCCTTCGTGTTGACGTTGTCGCCCGAAGGACTCGCAACCTGTCTGATCGCATCGTGCAGGAATGCCTGTACGTTGTCGAAGGCCGTCTGCCCGCATGCACCAGCGCGCCCATGGTCGTGTGCCCTTGGTTGGAATCGATACCCGATGGAGTGCCAACGACCACGCCTGCGCCCTTCAGGCGCACCGCTCTGTCTTCGCCCCTGCGGCCGTCCCACTGCGCATCGTGCGCCCCGTTTGGGCCGACGTCGGTGGAGCCCACCCCCTTGTTGTCGCTGTTGTGAAGACGTGATGCTTGATGAATACATACTGCATGCTATCAACACGTTGCAGCATCCCCTCCTTCAGGAGGGAAAAAAACACACAGACACAATTAATCCTCGATTCCCAGGAAAATATGGGAAAATATGGGAATTGGGGGGGAAGACAAAACCCCAGAAAATATGGGAAAATATGGGGACTATTTTTATTTGTGTGTATTTATTTGTGTGTCCTAATTTCCCTTTACTCCTGCGGTTGCGAAGCGGAACCTTCCGCGAGCCGCTCGCGCGCCCGCGGATCCAGTGTGCGCTTGTGGACTTGTAGCTCGGGCGTCCGCGTGGCCACGTCTTGGTCCCCCCAGGTCCGAGTCCAAGTCGGGGACCGTGGAGGAGGAGGAGGAGGAGGAGGAGGAGGAGGAGGAGGAGGAGGAGGAGGAGGAGGAGGAGAAGGGAGGAGGAGGGGGAGAGGAGAGGAGGGGAACAATGCAAAATGTGGGACATGTCGGGCTTCGCGCCTAAGCATCTGACATCTTACCCCTTCCCACCCATCCCACCCCATGGCTCTGAATATTCTCTATCCGCTGACGGGTACCCCCCAAACTGATCTTATTGTCTTACGCGTTGTCAGAAAGGGCAGCTGTGTACCCTGGAGGAAGATGAGGGGAGGAGGAGGAGGAGGAGGAGGAGGAGGAGGCGGCGGAGGAGGAGGAGGTGGCGGTTGCATGAGGGTGGGCGGGAGGAGGAGGAGGAGGAGGACGAGGAGGAGGACGAGGAAGGAGGCGCAGGAGGAGGAACAGCAGCAGCGGGAGCGAGAGTAGGAGGAATGGAAGAACCAGGTGGACCAGGGGGAACAGGGGAAGGCTGGGGAGGGGAAACGGGGGCCTGGCATCGCTCGGACGTGTGCATTTTTCCTTCGGCGAGGGCCATCGAGGAGCATCCTTGATCATTTGGCGAAAAAACGCGCACGAAACCGAAACAAGCACAGGGAATGGACGTCCGAGCGATGGCGAAGGGGGTGGCGACAACGATGAGAAGCGCTCGGATTCAGGGAAGTGCCACGCGCCGGGGCGAGCGCGCCATCTTGAACGACGGAAGCAGCGTGCCGCTCCTGAAACGAGGCGAGGGTCGTAGCGGGAACGCCTCTATGAAACTTCGGCAACAGCCTGGCAGAGCAGACCGATACTACACATCAATGTTTCAATTCCTATGCGTGATCACCGAATGCGGGAGAACAGGGGCCCTGCTCGCACTTAATTCGGGGAGAGAGGGGATTCTGAGTCATATTGAGTATTGTGGAAGGCTTGTGTCGTCACTCCTCCTTCCTCCGCATTGTCCCCCTTCCTCATCCTCTTCCCTCCTGCTTATGCTGCTGCTCTTCTCCATTTTCCTCTTCAGCACCCTCTCGGATAACGACAGAGGAATGAGAGAGCCCTGGGGACATATGGACATGCTTTAGGGCGATCCTGATGATTCTAGCGGGCTCTAAGGAGGGTCAGGTCGGAGGATGAAATGAGAAGGGGGGTGAGAAGTATGGAGAGTGGGAGAGGGGGATGCAGAGAAGGAGGTGCGGGGGGGAGTGGGATGAGGAGGGGCATCCGTCTTGGGGGGTTGCTTGGGGCGCCCGGGTGCCACTAGGCAGAAGATGTCGAAGGAAGGAGGGAAGGAATGGCAGCGGCGTGAGGAGGATCAGTTCCCGCGTAGGGTTGTCTGGAAGCAAGCGCTTCTCACAAGTTCGGTGTCAAACATACCAGGCATACGACTAACTACCACGCAATTGCTGCATGATGGCAGAATGCATGATTCGTCGAAGAGCCTCAGTCTGGAATGAAGACTGCCTGCAGCTAGGCAGATGAGATTGCGCGGAACCAACACATATACATCACATTACGTTTGGATGATTCGGGTCATGCCGGAGCTTAGTTTTGCGTTTTATACGTTTTTATTCGTTTTCAAATTTCTGATTGCGGGCGATGATAATGAAGCACAGCGGAAGCCCCAAACGGTGGGAAACGCAAGCAATCACGCGCGAGTGAACACGGGGCAGACAGCAGAGTGCCACAACGGGGGTGAACGCATCGTCGAAGTGGCTCGGTATTTGATTGTTATGGGGTAGCTGAAAGCGTGCTGAAAACACATCGGAACGAAGCAACACGGCGAGGCAAGACACAGGCCGTCTCCAGACATGAAAACGGCAAGACACTTGTCACTTAACAGTTGTCAGCAGCGGAGTTCGAATTCGAAAGAAACAGCGGCTCGATCAGCAGCACGGAAAGACGACACTATCACAACGGAAAAGCAACGTCGATTTAGGAAGCATTGCACGCCCCCAGATTTCAGACACGCCAGGGGCGTTCTAGATAACATCCAACGTGTTGGGGAGCCCTCGACTAGACAACTCCGGCCGCTCGGGTAGTTCGCTCTCCAGACAGCGACGGCGAGCTGCGAAGTAAGAGGAGGAGCAACAGCTGGAGAGACCGAACACGGCCAGGGTAGGGAAGCAGCTCTGCTGCAGGGGAGAGGTGTACATCTAGGGTGCCAAGCGTTACCAAGCAATTCTTGGTGCCTGTTGGGCGTCAAAGGTGACACTGGCCGTGGCTCGCATCAAGGCGCAGCGCAATGCAGTGGGGGCGCGCATCAAGAAGCCATGTGCTTTTTTCATCAGGGCACCCTGGGTTTCCTCGCTCCTCGCGCTGCGCGGTGACTTCCTGCTGCCGATGAGGCAGCTGCTGCGTCCCGGGTGCCCTGGGCCTCCCCCCAGTCTAGGGCGACGAGATTTATACATATCCACTGCTGCAAGCCAGGCCCATCCTGGGGCCAGGAATACTGTATACGCCTCTTTGGTCAAACCAGGAGGTCGTATACACTATCCTGGGCCCCGGATGAGCCTGGCCAGCAGCAGTGGATATGCATAGATTTCGTCGCCCTACAGTCGCACCCCTCGCGCGGGTCTTCAGGGCTGGGTGTCTTGCGAGGGTTCCTTGCGGCCGCGTCCGCACCGGGACTGGCCTGGGGCTGGATCAAGTTTCCGCCCGTGTTATGCAGCTGGCAATGCCTTGGCATCGCTCGGACGTGTGCATATTTTTTTCTCGGCGAGGACCTTCGAGGAGCACCCTCGACCAGTTGGCGAAAGAGCCACGCACGAAACCGAAACAAACACAGGACATGGACGTCCGAGCGATGGCCAGATGCCTGCCCTGCAGCCCCTGGGGGTCGACTTGGCCAGGCGCGCGCACAGAGAAGCATTCGCCTCCGTTGCGCCCGTTGTGTTCGGCAAGTGGCTGGCAGAGCCATCGGGGATGTCCACCGGGGATGTCCACTCAGCGCGTTTGTCCTTTCTCCCTTCTCCTCCCACTTCTCTTCCTCCTCCTTCGCGTCGTGAACAGCAAGTTGGCCGTTGCGCAGGCCACCCCCTGCCCTGCAGAAGCAGAAGCCCAGCAGCCCGACGCTGGGGCAGCGACGCCCCTCAGCCTTGGCAGCTTCCCGATGAGAAGCCAGCAGCGTTAGGTGGGGGGGGGGCAGGCGCAGGGGGGTGTTCCAGCCTTGTCCGAGCAGCCGGCGGACAGCCGAATCATATATAGGGGGCGACATGCGAACCCTACCCCTGCCCCCCACGATTTCTGAGGGAGCGAGGGTGGGGTTCACTCCGCTCGGGAGCTCCCGAACGAAGTGAACCCCACCCTCCCCCTCAGAGATCGTGGGGGGCAGGGGTAGGGTTCGCATGTCGCCCCCCAATACATACATAAATATATATATATATATATATATAAATGTATATAATATAAGATATACCCCGCAGCCCATCAGGGGATGGGCTCACGGGAGGACGCATCGACCACCCGTCGCCCATGCGCCGCCGATTGGGGCCCGATGGCCAGCCGCGCCGCGGGGCGTGCGGATTCGCCGTCGGGGCGCGTCGCCGATCCAGCGGCGACGCAGCGCCGATTCCAGCTCGGTGCCTCCCCCCCCCCCCCCCGGCCCCCCTTGCGCCGATCCTGAAGGAGGAGCAGGGGGAGAGGAGGAGGAGGAGGAGGAGGAGGAGGAGGAGGAGGAGGGAGGAGGAGGAAGGAGGATGAAGGAAGAGGAGAGGGAAGAGGGGGGAGGGGGAGGCAGGAAGGCCAGGAGGAAAGAGAAAGGAGGACAGGGGGGGAGCAAGGGGGTAGAAAGGGGAGCAAGGGGGTAGGAGTAAAGGCGGAGAGGAGGAGGGGGACGGCGGGTGGGGCGGCCGAACGGGGGTCGGAGGCCGCGGTGGGGTATGGGGGGGCGGGGGGGTGGGTTGTGGGGGTCGGGCCGGGCCGACGTGCGGGATAGGCGTTGTCGTGCCTTCTGCGGCGTGGCGGGCGGGTGCTTGTCTGGGTTTCGGTCGCTCGCTGTCGGTCGGCCGCCGAACTCCAACCAACCATATCGCAGACGCGGCAAGCCAAAGTGCGAGTGCCGGAGCGGTATCGTCGAGCCGTTGCTGGCGCACGAGTGGGTTGCTTGGCAAGCCGCCGTCGGCCGACATTTCGAATCCCTCGTGGCGATGGGGGCGGAGGTCATTTCGTCGGCCAGCGCAGGGGCAGGCCTTCTCAAAAGGCGGTGGGGCTTCTCAGAAGCCCTCTCGCCTGCTGAGAAGCCCTGTAAGTCTTCTCCGAAGTCTTCTCGGAAGTCTTCTAAGTCTTCTCCGAAGGCAGAGACGCCTTCTCAGAAGGCGCGAGGGCTTCTGAGAAGCCCCGCCGCCTTCTGAGAAGGTCAGCTCTCTCGCATTTCCCCCCCCCGGCTCGCCGTCGAGAAGGACTGCACTTGCTCACTGATTCGTTGCATCCGATCTTGCAGTGCATGGGCGCGTTTGGGTTGCACGGGCGACGTTGCCTGCAAGGCTGGCGCGGCGTGACGGCGAACGCCGTGATGTGTTTCGCGCCCCGGTCGCATGCAGGCAGCGTTTGGGAGACAGTCGAGCACACAATTCCAGAACCAGTGTCACTTGGGGAGTCCGCGGCCGAAGCTCGAAACTAAAACTCCTAATTGCCTCCCTCCTGACCCTCCTGTTCTTGCCTCTCCCCCTTCCTTTGTTATCTCCTCTTCTTCCTCCGCTCCTCCTCATCATCATCATCATCATCATCATCATCATCATCATCATCATCATCATCATCATCATCATCATCATCATCATCATCATCATCATCATCATCATCATCATCATCATCATCATCATCATCCAGGTTTTGTCCTCATTGTTCCTCGTCCTGCTTGTCTCCTCTTCCTCCCTCCTTTTCCCACCCTCCTTCTGCTTCTTCCTCCCCCCTTCATCCCACTGCTGCGCGATCTTGGAAGCGAGAACCGGCACAGTGCGCACTGCACAACCAGGTAAGCTGGCGCTGATGGTGTGTATCGCATCGTATCGTATCGTATCGTATCGTATCTTCCTGTCCCTCCCCCTCCAAATCGCCCCTCCTCCTCCTCCTCCTCCTCCTCCTCCTCCTCCTCCTGCTCCTCCTTCTCCTCCTCCTCCTCCTCCGCTTCCTCCTCCTCCGCTTCCTCCTCCTCCGCTTCCTCATCCTCCTCCTCGCTCCCTCCTCATCGCTTCCTCCCACCCACCCTTGCTCAGACGTGCCCCCCCCTCGATGCCGCCCAGGACGAGGGGCTGGCCCAGCTCTTCCGGGACCCGTCGCTCGGGGCGGGCGCGTTCGACACGCTCCAGCACCGGTGGATGGCGCGCGAGGACCTGCACAACCAGTGCGCCGCCCACCCCCTCCCCCCTGCGGCGGGCTCGGGGCGAGACCCGGCCTCCTCGCGCTGTGGAAAAAGCACGACGGGAGGTGCTTCACTACTTTCGGCCGCTGGGGGAACACACACACACACACACACACACACACGTGAGGTGTTGTTGGGGAAACACACACACAAACATACAAACAACACAAAACACAAAAGAAACCAAAAAAACAAAACACGGCCTCTGGGAAAACTCACGACGTGAGGTGTTTTTTGTTCCCACAGTGTGTGTGTGTGTGTGTGTGTGTGTGTGTCTGTGTGTGTGTTTCACTATTTTCGGCCTCCAGGGTCCCTTCCCAGGCCGCGGGACCGTCAAAAAACGACTCGGGATGAAACACCCGCCCCGGGGAAAGGCTCCAGACTTCCGTGGGTCGGGGGCGGAAAAGAGGGGGGTGATGACTAGGGGGGGTGGATATCATGGCGGGGGCCATGATACTTCCCCAGATCACATGGCGCCTCTTATTGTTTCCTTACGTCCCTGGCCCCCCGCTGGGCCGCGCACATGCCGCCGGTCATGATTTGCACCCCCCCCCTCTTGGACACCCCCCCCTTGGCCGCTCCCGAAGCAGGGCCCGGGCCAGGGCCGGGCTCGGACGTGTGCATTTTTTTTCTCGGCGAGAGCCATCGATGACGAACCAACAACACACACCCATACCCATAGGGGGGTCGGAGAGGGCTATGGGTGCGTGTTGTCGGATGGGGGTTCCCGCTCGAACGGGAGCGTTCCCCAGGGTCCGACACCCCGCACCCATACCCATAGCCAGTCCTCCTCTCAACGAACCCCCTATGGGCATGGGTGTGTGTTGCTCGTTCGTCAATCGAGGACCATCCTGGACGATCGAGCAGTAAACAACACGCACGGAGCCGGAAAGTGCACGGGACACGGACGTCCGAGCGACGGCAGGCGCACGGCCGGCGCCCTCCCAGGGGCCGGGCGGGGCCAGGACGAGGGGCGCCTCCGTTCCAGAGCGTCCGGGGGGCGCTCGTCGGAGCGCTCCGGGAACGCTCTTCTGAGGATGCCGCTCCCGAAGCAGGGGCCGGGCCAGGGCCGGGCTCGGACGTGTGCATTTTTTTTCTCGGCGAGAGCCATCGAGGACCATCCTGGACGATCGAGCAGTAAACAACACGCACGGAGCCGAAGGATGCACGGGAAACGGACGTCCGAGCGACGGCAGGCGCACGGCCGGCGCCCTCCCGGGGGCCGGGCGGGGCCAGGACGAGGGGCGCCTCCGTTCCAGAGCGTCCGGTGGGCGCTCGTCGGAGCGCTCCGGGAACGCTCTTCCCAGACCTCCTCGCGTCGTGAAAAAATCACGACGGGAGGTTTTTCGCTATTTGCGGCCTCCGGGGGCCCTTGCTGGGCCTCGGGAGCGTCAGAAAACGATTCAGGATGAGACGCCGGTCCCGGGGAAGGGGTCCAGACCTCTGGGGGTCGACGTTGTGAAAAAATCACGACGTCGGGGGTCTGGGTTCTGAGGAGGCCGCGGCGCCCGAGACCTCCCCCAGATCCACCAGATCTCAGAGGTTCTCGATGTACCCGCACACCCGATGCTACCCTCGTCCTGGCTTCGTGTTACGGTGCACCCACGGTCTGCGATGGGAAAGCTCCCGGTGGCCTGGCCATGCGCACCCTCCTGCATTGCTAGGCCGATCGTGCCGGTCGGTCACGCGGCCAGTCGAGCCCGATCCCCGGGAGGGGCCAGGAGGTAGGGCGACGAGATCTATACATATCCACTGCTCCTGGCCAGGCCCATCCTGGGCCCAGGAGCTGTGTATATGCCTCCCTGGCCAGGCCAGGAGGGCGTATTCACCGCTCCTGGGCCCAGGATTGGCCTGGCCAGGAGCAGTGGATATGCATAGATCTCGTCGCCCTAAAGGAGGGGGTGGTGACTACGGGGGGGGTCCCTTGCCTCCCCAGATCTCATGGCGCCTCCTCTTGCTTCAGTGCGTTCCACGTTCCCCGCTGGGGCCCCCCCCACCTCCCCCCCTCCTCGGGCCGCGCACGTGCCTCGGGCCACGAGCTGCGAGCCCCCCTCCTGGACGCCCCACTCCTCCTCCTCCTCCTCCTCCTCTCCTCCTCCCCTCCTCCCCTCCTCCTCCCTCCCCCTCCTCCCTCCTCCCTCCTCCCTCCTCCCATCCTCCCTCCTCCCTCCTCCCTCCTCCCGCCTCCCATCCTCCCTCCCTCCTCCCTCCTCCCTCCTCCTCCTCCTCTCCTTCTCCTCCCTCCTCCCGCCTCCTCCTCCTCCTCCCTCCTCCCTCCTCCCTCCTCCCTCCTCCTCCTCCTCCTCTTTCAGCACGTCCTCGTCCTCTTTCAGGGGCAACGGTATAGGGGGGGATAGGCATCGGGGGGGATGCATCGACCCCCAATTGCCCATTGATCGCCGACAGGGGCCCGATAGCCCCAACCTGCCCAGGAAGGTGCGGACTCACCATCAGAGGCCTATCGCCGACCTATCGGCGATGTATCGCCGGTTCAGGGTCGATGCGTCCCCCTCTATGCCAGTCCCCCCCTATCGTTGCCCCTCACTCGTGGGAGGGGGAGGCTCCTGGCCAAGGCGGCGGGGGGCAGGGGAGGATCGGGAGGGGGGGGGCTGCGGGAGAGGGCAGGCGGGGCAGGGCGGAGGGCGAGCTTGCTTCTGGGGGGCGAGAGCCTAGCTCCTCGCAGCGCGGGGCTCGAGGATGGCTGATTCGGGGAGGGGGGGAGCGGTCGGCAGTAAAGCATGCGAGCCGTGTGTACCCTCGCGAAGTTCCGTCTCAGTAGGGTGCCTTGGCGTTGATTAGCGGTTGGTAATCGCGGAGATGGCGCCGCTTTAGCGTCGATGTTTGTTGCGTCGACTCGCGCCGATTCCCAGGAGCCGGCAAGTTGGGATGAGACGCTGAAATCGGAGGGATGGGCGGGGGATGACGGGTTGAGGAGAAAGGGCAAAGGTGATGAGGGCGAGGGTCACGTAGAGTGGCGATGACGAGAGGGATGGAGTGAAGCAGGGAGGATAAGGAGAACAAGCAGGAGGAGGAGGAGGAGGAGGAGGAGGAGGAGGAGGAGGAGGAGGACTTGGAGGAGGAGCGCGACGAGGGAGGAGGCAGGAGGCAGGAGGAGGCAGGAAGGGACATCGGCGGGGATCCAGCTCCGTGTGCCCAGCTGCCCTGGGCTCCCCTCTGTCCCGCGTGCTCGCCGGGCGCGTTGTTTGCCTTCTTTCGGGTGTTGCTAGAAGTGCCCCTGGCCCAAGGTGCCCCCAGGATTCACGGGGGGGTCCAGGCGGCCTCCAGAGCACCCCTCACGAAGCCCAGAGGACCCCAGGGGCTCCAAAATGGAGCGAAAAGCTGGGGGCACTTTGGGCTAGGGGCACTTCTAGCAACACCCGATTCTTTCCTCCTCCTGCCGCAGCCTTTGCCGCCGTCGCTTCGAGGATGCAGGAGCGGCGGTGTCTGTCGAGTGTGGCCTCCCGTAGCAGGGCGGAGCCTGAGGTGGGCGGAGGCGGTGGAGGCAGCGGCAGAGCGTGTGGTGAGGAGAGTGACTGGTGGCGGGAGCGGCCACCTGCGCGGCATCGTCGCAGAGCCCAGCACAGTTCTCCTCCTCCTCTTCCCGTCGTCCTCATTTCCGTCCTCCTCCTCCTCCTCCTCCTCCTCCTCCTCGGCCAGCCCGGGCGCCCTCCCGCCAGACACTTTGGGATCGCCCCGGCTTCAGGAAGGCTTCAGGAGCGAGAGAAGGACGTACGCGTACGTGAACCCCAGGAGATCCGAGGATGTGATGTTTGCAGTCTTCCTGGATTTCGGCCTCCAGAGCCCGTTGTCCAGCCCGGGTGCCATAAGACATAGACTCGGGACGAACACCCCACCCCGAGGAAGAGGTCCGGATTTTTGGGGCCGCGGATGGAACAAATCACATCGGCGGATGTCTGTGAGCCACGTTGGTGTCGAGCGTACGCGTCGCGCGAAAATTCGTATCGCGAGGCTGGTCTCGCGGACTTGGGGGGCCGTAGTCATGCACGTGGCACGTGGTTGGGCGCGTGCGTCCTGTGTGGGCTCCTTGCCCAGAGGGGGGTAGGGGGAGGGGAGCAGGCTTCTGAGAAGCACCCCTGCTCCTCAAAAAGAGCAGGCCTCGTCTAGAGATGTAGGGCCAGCGCCTTCTGGGAAGCAGCCTCCCTTGGGAAGCCTTCTCCCCTCCTCCTACCCCCCTTGTGCGCGCCGCCAAACTCTGGGGGCGCCCCGGGTGGGAAACATCGGACAGTGTCGCAGTCCTAGAGATTGACACCAACACCAAGATCGGCGGTGTGCCTCCACCGAGGGAAGACGATCCT